TGACTGTTGGTATGATGTTCTTTTTATGAAATGCTGTGTTGGTTTTACGCCAGATGTAACGGGACACACACCTTCCAAAAAGTTCAACTTTTGTCTCATCATTCCACAGAATATTTGCCCAAAACTCTTGGGGATAATCCTCTTTGTGTAATATTAAAATTTGTTTGATGATCTGAATCTTTTAAGTGTGACAAATATGCAAAAAATTAAAAAACAGGAAGGGGCAAAAACCTTTTCACGGCACTGTAAATGAAGTAGTAGATGAAGAAAATGTTGCATTACCAGGTTTTCTGCCTGAATAAAAGGTAATTGCAATTTATACTGCATCTCTTTATGTAAAGCTGAAAAAGTGTGTCATTTTTTTATATTAAACAGCACAGTGAAAGTAAATGTGAAAAACAACCAGCCTGACATGGCAACATTGGTTGAACTATTGTGTGAATGACTATCTGTTTGTCTGTACAATACATTAGGGGTGTTTGGGAAATCTGTTTGAAAACTTATTTTTGCAATTCCATTTGTAAAGAAATTACACATCACCTTCAAGAATGAAGAATAATGTCTGAATCTGCGATGAATGTAAAGCTGTTGCAGTTCTGTTGTCTAATATATGGAAATGGGTTGAATGTTTTTTGTTTTTCAAATAAATTTATAAAAGTGTGTTTGGATTTGTAGGTTTTTTGCTCATAACAGACCCCGATTGTAAATGTTAAATGTCTTTGGATGTGAAATTCAATATTTTACTGGTGTCTAAAAAAAGACACCAGTAAAGACACCAGTTTTGTTTTGTCTTTACAAAAAACTACAAAAGCACTAACATAAGAGCATTTTGTAAATATAGGTTTGCTTGTTTTATAAGACAAGTTCTGGTTCCAGAAAATTATTGTTAAATTTGCCCGTTTGTGACTGAAACACACAAAATTGATATTTATCACCATGACCATCAGCGAGGCTATACGATTCTTTATTATCATTGATGGCTCCATGAAGAACCCTTGACATCCACTGAATCTTTCCATTGAACTAAAGGTTCTTTATAGTGGAAAAAAGGTTCTTAAGATTTGGGGAAAAAAATGGTTCTTTTAAGATCTGTTCACTGAAAGGTTGTTTGGAGAACCAAAAATGATTCTTTAATGGCACTGCTGCGGAAACCCCCTTTTGGAACCTTTATTTTAAGAGTGATAATGGCAGTGAAAACAAAACAAAAAAAAAACAGATACCAAGAAAAAACATTTTATGCATACCAGGTTCCAGAAAACATTTTTGGTGACACTTCGGTATAGAGGCCAATTCTCACTATTAACTTGTTGCTTATTAGCATGCCTATTAATAACATATTGGCCGTATATTAGTACTTATAAAGCACATATTCTGCATATATACCCAATACCTAAACTTAACAACTACCTTACTAACTATTAATAAGCAGCAATTTAGCAGCGCACTGAGGCAAAAGTCGTAGTTAATGGTTTGTTAATAGTAATTAAAGTAAACGTTTTTTACAGTTAGCACAACCTGCCAAATTTAACATTCGCAGAGAAAACAACTTGTATGTGGTGGCAATTTAGTATGAATTTGTATGATGTGATTTGTACAGAAAAAAAATACTAACCATGAAGGTTTACCCCCCAACCCAATCTATCAGTGGGACATAAGCAGATCGTATGAAAACATTAAAATGAGAGGATATGAATTAGACGCAAATTAGCCAAAATGTAAAATAGTTACGAATTGTCATGAGAGTGTGTTGGTCATTTATGTAAAACTTTACAATTAATTAACATTAGTTCATGTTAACTAACATAAACTAACAATGAGTGTTTGTTACAGTATTTATTACATTAAATACAGATATATACAAATACAAAAATACAGATTTTCATTGTTAGTCCATGATTTTAATATTATATTAGTAAATGATGAAATTAACATTAACTAAGATTGATATATGCTTTAGAAGCACTTTATATTGTTAGCTGATGTGAGCTAATGTAGTTAACTAATGTTAACCAATGGAGCCTGACCTCTCATACTTCATTTCTTAAGTTTCAAATAACTGAATAATCTCCATTTCATGCCATTAAAGTGGATAACAAAGTCTCATACTGGACCCGGTGTTAATTCTGAATCCAGGATAGAGCGGTTGAGTGAATGCAATCCGAATTCTGTAGATGAGATTTATTGAGTCTGTGATGCTGTAAAACGCCAAAATTCCTGCAGAAAAGTCAACATAAACGCCAGTCCTGCGAGCCCACTGCATTTTGGGAATCTTAGTTTCCCGTCCATTGTACCAGAATGCATATGTATCCTCAGAGCACACCAGACTCCAGGACTGGGCGTTGTGTCCAAACGCACACAGGGTGCTCTTTCCTTTCCTGCTG